CCCTGGTGTGAGCTTTTTCTTCCATGTGCTATAGCCCTGCCATGCGATATAGCCTTCCAACATTGACTCTGAAGAAAAAGAAATAGGGAGATATTAATGTTAAGGCCTGCCTCTGAAGAGAAATACATAGTTTGTTAAATAGAATAAACCTGACACTTAAATAAGTGGGACATCTTTATTTATTATTTATTATATTGTCATTGTATGTGCGTACATAGTATACATATACAACGAAATTTACTTGACACCCAAAAGCCAAGTCCCACACACATAATCCCCAAACACACTCCCCCACCACCACAATCCCCACCCCTAAAACCACCCAACATCCACACAACAGACCAAGTAATGCTGTCCAACAGTTCACTGATGGTGGCCCTTTAGTTCGTTGTTGAGTGCAATTACAGCTCTGGGATAAAAACTATTCAGAAAACGTGTAGAATTTCACTTTAGGTAGAATTTATCTACATGGGGAAAAAAATACTTTACCAAGAGACCAACTACTTATAACAAAGCATGCAATATCTCACCAATGCTATTTGAGGAGGGTATTTATTAGATTTTCTCCAGTAAAAAAAAAAAGACAGAAGACAATGTGTAGGAGCCATTGTGCTTGCAGAAAGGTTTGTCAGCAGTCTGTATTATTATTTTTTTCTGAAAAATTAACAGCAGATTGGAACAGAGAAGGATTTAGGAGCAAGGACTCTTAATGATTGATTCTTTGTCTATTCACCTAAGGCAGGGGTAGGCAACCTTGGCTCTTTTATGACTCGTGAACTTCAACTCCCAGAATTCCTGAGCCAGCCATGCTGAGGAGAAAGGGAGAGGTTTCCAAGCTGAGCCATGCTGGCTCAGGAATTCTGGGAGTTGAAGTCCACCAGTCATAAAAGAGACAAGGCTGCCTACCCATGACCTAAGGAGCCCATTCAGATTAGGTGAGGCCTGAAATCTCACTGGAGGACATATATGCCCCTCCCCAGCCAACTTGCTCAGATTGAAGAAGCTACTTGGATAAACAGCAAAACATTTCAAAGGAAAAAGGAAAAAGAAGTCCTGATTCAACTTCCAGACAACTCAACCTGGATGACTGAGAATCTTCATCAACAACAGATTAGAAAGTTTTGTTCTACACTTTAGTAACCTGCAAACCAAAGACGTCCATTAATAAGTTTTTTTTCTGATAGATTCTAGTCATCCTTCCACGTGATATAAGCTTCAAATACCGCTGGCATTTTTTGATCTGCTTCAATCTGACATGTTAACAACGCCAGAAATGAAACTGTGGTTCAATTTGTTTATTCACTGAGAGATCAAGGAATGTTCATCATATCTTCCAATGACCACCTGATGTCTGGAAGCTTGGCATTCTGACAAATCAGCCATCAACAGAAACACAGAGAGAAACCCATCTACGCAGCGTTTAAAAGCTCATGGAGGAAACAACTAATCAGGGCAGCCAACACCCAGAGAAGCAGGAACTGTGATGACCCAGGGCAAAGCACAGAGGCAATGCCGTCAGCTGGCAATTCAAACCGCCCTTTAATTGCTCCAAATTTTCCCCAAATGCTCCCACGTTTCTGGCAAGCCTCCAAACAAAAGAAGACACACATCTGCAGCCGCCTCTGGCTGCAAGTAGTTTCACATACAGTCTGATTAGGAGAGGAATTTACTCAAGGCCACGGAGATAACAAGGAATGACACCTGCATCATAAACCTAACGAGTCTGTGTGAATACACGCTTGCCTGAGCAGTTTCAAAAGGGAAGCCGAAATACAGTCCGTGATCTTTGAACATCCAAGCAACATTGTCAGCCAGTCCAATGGTCAGAGTTTCCGGGTTTCCAAGCAGAAGTCACAGAACAAGAGATCAGCAACAGCACACACAACCCTCCAAGAAATCAGCGTTTGTTCCTGACAAATGCCTTTCCTTAAATCTCAGTCTCCAGGTGTTCCTTGTGGAGAAGGGCGGGACACTCTCCTCCCGAGTAGCTGAGCCTGCCTGCGTTGTTCCCTCCTTCTCTCCACTCTCCATGCTCTAGGATCAGGTGGGGGTGGCCCTTGCTCATCGCCTGAACTCGGTCTCTCCTGTTCCTCCTGTCCCACTCCTGAAGGGTCCTGGCCTGCCTCTGCCTGCTTTTCCCCACATTCCTCAAAGCCAATAGGATAAGCCCGATTTGCTTAATGACCTCACGATTTACTAAATAACAAAATCACTTAACACCTGTGACAAAAGAAATCGTAAAATGAGGCGAAACTCCCTTAACTATCCTGCTTAGCAACGGGAAATTTTGGGCTCAACTGTGATCCTTAAGCCAAGGGCTACCTGTACTGCTCCAACCCAGGTGTAACGTTGGCTGCTATTATTCCCCTATGGGAGAAGACCGTTCAACTCATCAGTCTGCATTCCCCTCCCCCAGGAGAGCCTTTGATTAAAAAAAAATAATCTGATGGCCTCATCCTGGATTTCAAAGTAGACGGCATGAGAACCAAGCCGTTATTTCCCTCCCCATTTCCTGGAAGAATCTCCAAAGCACAAGGTTGCTGGAATTGGGTATGTCTAGTTCAGGGGTGGGCAACCTTGGCTCTTTCAGGACTTGTGGACTTCAATACCCAGAATTCCTGAACTAGCCATGCTGACTCAGGAATTCTGGGAGTGGAAGTCCACAAGTCATAAAAGATCCAAGGTTGCCTACCCCTGGTCTAGTTTAATGAAGAGAAGGACTAGGAGTGACATGATAGCAGCCTTCCAGTATCTCAGGGGCTGCCCCAAAGAAGAGGGAGTCAAGCTATTCTCCAAAGCACCTGAAGGCAAGACAAGAAGCAACGGATGGAAACTAACCGAAGAGAGAAGCAACATAGAACTAATTTCCTGACAGTTAGAACAATTAATCAGTGGAACAACCTGCCTCCAGAAGCTGTGAATGCTCCAACACTGGAAGTCTTTAAGAAGAGATTGGACAGCCATTT